ACATAGGGTGCAGCTGTTTACCTGAATGTATTCTTAAATAAATGACTACTACCACTCTAAGTTTCCTAGTTGGAGCTCTGTTACAGGTTACTGACCCCAAGTTCACGTTCCAGACTTTGCCACAAGAGATTTAATTACAAGGGTACCACCCCCAAAGTCTTAGGGTGAATTGGGAAAGGGCCGGTTAAATGAAGAAACAGGCCATTCCTTGGTAAAAGTTTGTAGTTTTCTTTCTCAATGCACCTTCTTTTTATTGAGCACTTCCATTTTTATCCTGTGTTCCTCCTCTGCCATCTCACACTCTCGCTCTATCTGCTGGATTTTGGCCACATGCACCTCATTCATTTGTTTTTTTTTTTTTTTTTTTCACCTCATTCATTTGTATCAGCTGCAGTTGTACGATGGACATTTGTTGATGGTGTTCTTCCTCATGCATCTTTTTTAAAGCACCTTCCTCAGAGGTTTTGCTCTTGTAGTTTTTATTGGCTGTTATTCTGATAGCTGAACACGAGGGTTCAGGTTGAGAGGTCCCCTCACATACTGGAAAATGTATGAACTCTTTCTCATCATTGCACAGTTCTCTATTTGAAACAGCAAATGATTCTTGGGCAGCAGCATCAGGGTGGGGCTCTGGCTCTTCCTCGGGTGGGCCCTGCAGGAAGTAGAGTTGCTCAGGCAGCGATCTTCTTCCCCAGCACATGGGTGCTCAGCAGTGGGCTGACGCTCCACTTCACTTTCTCTCTCCTTTCATGGGCCATAATTTTTTTGGTCCGAGCCTTGATGTTCTCCCAGCACTTTTTCAGCTGTTTGAAATCCTGCAGAGATACACTTGGCTGGGAGTTATACTCGTGGGCAATCGCTTGCCAGGGACGCTGTTTGAGGGCAATAGTTTGCTCATCACTTTTCTTACATTCCAGCACATATTTATACTTTTCTACTAAAGCAAGCAAGATGCTCTTTTCCAATTCTGAGAAGTATTTGGCAGGTTTTATAATTTCGTTGTTTTGCATTTTCCACTATGTTTCTTTTTTTTTTTTTTTTCAATTTTATTTTATTTTATTTTGAAGAGTAAAAACAAAAGCAAAAACAAATAGCAGAAACAAAGACAGAAACAGGGTAACATACAACAATATATATGTTACAAATTTTCAAAAGAAGAACAGTTAGTTAACAATGGTTGCTATATTATCTATTTTATCATTGAATCTGTTGCTCAGATTAACACATATAGTCATGTGCTTTCATTAAACTTTAATTTTTTGGTCTTTTTAACTTTAAAAAATTATTTTAAAGAGAGTATAGTAATAATTGATAAGACATTAGAAACATACACATTTAGAAGACCAAGATGAGAGGTATTCAACCATGGTTTTTGTATTACACATTGCTGTCCTCAATGTAGTTGCTTAGATTACAGATATCAGCATACATAGATAGTCAGGGTGAAAATTCTATTTTTTTCCTTGAATTTTTATATTGGTACATTTTATATATACATAGTGATAGCATTCATCATAGGGGAATCGTACCTTGCTTCAAACAATAGTTTTAAGCATTTTTTTTTTTAAGATTTAAAATTTCTGAATTTAGTTCGACTTATAATACCACATTTCCAAGAAAAATGAACCTTTTGCAAAGACATTTAAATAAAATCATACCAAGATACACAAAAATGAAATTGTCCAAAACTTCTTGTAAAGAAAAAAATCATTAAAGCATATACATAAAAAAATTAGCTATGGAAGAACAAAATTAAATAGCATCTTATTCCACATTAGGAAGAAAAAAAAGGACCAAGGGTGTAAGAAACTAGATTAATTAAAGGACTGAAAGAAAAGATCTGTCCTCTTTGAATTTTATACTTAGAAAACATACCTTTGAAAACTAAAAGTAAGATTTTCTAGTTATACAAACTTGAAATATTTTAATACCTCCAGAAGTAGCATATAGGAAATAACAAAGAGCATAATTCAAAAGGCAAGAGAAGTTGCACTATGCTCCTGGATGAACAATAAATAGCTCTCAATATGATAGTTATGCAGGACTATATAAAAGATATATTAGATGAGCCCTTATTTAAAGGTCATTGCAGATTTCTATGAAACAGTACCAATCTAATGTTGGGTTATACACGTATTTTTTTTCCATATATGTGTGTGTATGTGTGTATAAAAGACAGGGAAGAAGTAATATAAAGTCAACAGAAAAATGGAAATATACTTTTTAAAGTTTCTAGTACTAGAAGATATCATATAATGTCTTTTAAATAAATTGTAAGTCAAAGATATAGTTTAAATCTTAGAACAAAAATTAAGATTAAGCAATATTCAGAAAATTAAATACTAATTAATTAAAAATTAAATGTTTCAAAACAGTTGCACTAAGAAAAAGTTTTCATGATAGCAAAGAAGTACTAAGAGTAAAATATAAGATAAATACTGGAATGGCAAATATATGACCAGCACTTCTAACAGTTTGAGGAGAGGATATCGCACAAAGTTCTAGTGTGTTGTGGACATGCATAATGACCGTGACAGTTACTGGTGGCCAGGCGTCACTTGTGGAACTGAGCTACAGCTACTTCTTTGAAATCCACCCTGTAGAGTCAGGTGGAATCATGACCCATAGGGTGGAAGAGAAGTCCATTTGTAGAGTGTGCTGATGGAAATATTTTGCTGCTGAACACAAAAGGATAACTGAAAGATTACTATTGTATACCTCTTATTCTCCTGTGTTTGTTTGCCCTATTTGTGGGTTCTTTCTATTCTCATTCATGGGGCTGTGATCAATTTGCTCCCTCTCTAGAACATCATTTAGTAGTCTGCGTAGGCTTGGCTTTGTCATCATGAAATTCTTTAGTTGTTCTTTGTCATGGAAGTATTTCACTTCTCCATTATACTTGAAAAAGAGTTTTGCAGGATCTATCAGTCTGGGTTGGAATTTGTTTTCTTGCAAGACTTGAAGTACTTTGCTCCATGCTCTTCTTGACTTGATGGTTTGTAAGAGAAATCTGTTATTCTGATGGGTTTTCCTTTAAATGTGATCTGTTTCTTTTCTTTGTGTCTCTCTAGCAAGATGTTCTGCTCCTGAATCAGCTGGGTGGGTCTTGCCTCTAGCCTCTTTTCAGGGAGTTCTGCTGAAGGGTTCCACGCTGGGCCTGCACTCTGGGTTGAATGAGGATCCAGTGGGCCTCAGGTGGTGTCATTCACACACCAGACTTGTGCTCTGGGCCTATTCACGATCTGGCGGGCCCCGGATCGTCTCACTCACAGGCCAGGCCTGGACTCTGGGTCTATTCAGGATCTGGCGGGCCCCGGGTGGTCTCACTCACATGCTGGGCCTGGGCTCTGGGTCTGTTCAAGATCCAGCAGGCCCCGGGTCCTCTCACAGATGTGATCTTAAACTTGTTGAGTGCTCAGCCTAGATCTGCAGAACTGATCACAGACATGTCATAATCTAGCTCGGAGGGAGCACCCAGTTGACTGGTAGACCCACAAACACTAATATTTGCCTATTATTTTAAACCATTGATTTTTGGGAAAGATTTATTGTGTGTCTGTTATAAATGGATAGAGATGATTTTATTGAATTGTTATATAGAATCATGGTTATGAAGAAAAATGTCTTTATTCTTAAAAGATTTCAACTGAGTAGGAGTGAACTACCATGATTCATGTAAGTTATTATGGTACAGGAGCAAGGGCCAGGAAGGAAGCTAGAGAGAAATACATAAGTACATGGGGAAAAAAGAGATTGAGATTACAGATGTGACATATAATATATGTGGCTTTTTTTTTTTTTTTTTTTTTTTAATGTATTTGGTACTGGGTCTCACTATGCAGGTTGGACTTGTAGTGATTTTCATGTTTTCAGCCTCCCCAGCATTGGGATTACAGGCATGCGCCACCATGCTCGGTCTTGG